TAGTCATTAAATATCCGGCCTATATCATTAGGAGATCTAAATATCTTATCATTATGTATTATTTTATCAATCCGATGCAAAGCTTGCTGTTTCTTTAGTTTATTCGTCAGCATTCTATCTATACGGTTTCTTTTCATATACCATTTTTGTTGTAATTTCTCAATATTATTAGCAATACGATTCATATTTATTGCGTTAAGATTATTCTTAATTATTCGGATTTGTTCTGCCTTTTCTTTTGTTGGAATTTCTTTATTACTTTTTCTAACTTATATAATGAAATATACATATCTGCTGAAATATTTCTTTTCTTCTTCTCATACGCACCTAACTTAATAAAATGGCCTCTAATAACGGCCTTATATGCTAACCACCTACTCCCAAGAGCCGAGTCTTTATTCTCTGAGAAATAGAAGTCTGACATTTTAGCAATATACTCTTTATTTTCATCACTTCTCAGCAATGATTCATTTAGTCTCCACTGTCTAAAAATTTGTTTCTGGTTATTATGTATTTCCCAAACTATCGCGTTATGATCAGACCATATTATTGATTTAATTAATACTTTTTTAATGGAGCTCACCAATGCTATATTTCCTAACAACATATCTATTCTAGCATAGGAACAGTGTCTATAAGAAAAATGCGTAAAGTCATATTCCTGGGGGTGGAAAATTCTCCATATATCATATAAAGCAGCCTTTTTCACAACAGTGGAAAGGGCTTTAGCTTTTCGTTGTAATGCTGTATCTATTTTAACCCCTTTTTTCATTCTTTTATCCCATTCCGTGTCTAGGACACAGTTAAAATCCCCTGCCATTATGACCCTGCCTCTTGATATTTTATCTACCTTATCTACTATGTCCTTCATGAAGGCCATTTGACCCGAGTTAGGGGCATAGATATTAACTAGAGTGTATATCTCATTATTCAATTTACAAATCAGTCAGGGCCGTCTTTAATACTGATTGGACCCTGGGCAAGAATTTACTTGGGCCCCCTGGATCCCACCTTCCCACACCATAGCATGCAATCACGCCCTCCACCACAACACATACACACATACCAAAAAAACCACACAAAAAAAAAAAAACACACAACTCGTAGAGTAGTAAACTTTAATAATGTAAACATAAAAAACTGGTTCCCAAAAAATAAGTCCTTAGCTTGACCTACTTGCCACCTGTAGCTTCTTTTAACCTCGGTCTTATGGTATATTTTTATTAAAAGTTATACGTTGTTGGAAGAACAAGCATAATAACAATATCTTTCAGTAACAGTGCAAATCAACATTATGTTTAAATTATAAAATAAATAACCATGTTGGCTAGTAATATCACAAAAAAAATAATAAATAAAATACAACAATTAACAATGCAATTAAATAAACAATATTAAACCTTATTGTATAATCCAAGTGCACATTTCCCATTCCAATATGGAGAAAGGGAATCAAGTACCAGTGTTAAATGGTCAACCTTATTATAATTCCTGTTAGGCACCAACTGCTGCAGTAGCAGACTATTATAAAATAATACGTAGTTTAACAACCATTAACGTAAAGTGCAGAGAACTTTTACATAAAATAGTAAATAAATATTTTAGTGCAATTTTAAACAGTCTACGTGCTTTCTGAGCAGCAAAGGTCTTTGTAATGTTGGAAAAATCAAGACCGCGAAGTATATCAGATTCAGCAGACATTATAGATAGTTTGGTGAGACGGCTCTGGCTCATGGTTGTGCGTTGTAAGTTTTTGATCAATTTCATTTTTGAAAAAGATCGTTCACCTGAACTGTTAGAGATCATTAAAGTTAGGTAGATTTTTAAAGCAATTTCCGTGTTCGGAAAAGTATCTCTTACATCCTTGTCATTAATTGTATTGTACATGAATTGCTCTATGCTGCAATCGTCTGGTTTTTCATCCAGGAAAAGAGAAATGAATGACTGAAATTGAATTAGTTCATCACCAAATGTTGTGCCCAGATCATGCTTGTAGAAAGCAGACAACTTTTCTGCTGCAATGTTAATGGATTCAGAGTCCATCGCTGGAAAGTTTATAAGGAAACCAAATAAATCACACACTTCACTGTAGGCTCCTAGGCGATGTTCCAGACACATTAAAGGTTTGTCAACACAGGGGAGAAAGGCCTTAGCATAAAAGGCCTCCTTTGGCGTTAATTGAGCTTCTTCACTGTGTCCATAGTCAAGTGGCTGCTGACGGACATTCCGACGTTGAAGACGGCGGTGTTCCACAATATACTCCTCAGTATCTGTTAGACGCTTGCCAGCTTCTTCAAATGCATCAAATTTAGTACGCTGTTCATTAATAAAATCTTTTAACGATTTCAAAACACCAACAGCAGCATTTAGGTTCAGCTGAACAGACTGCAGAGTTTTGCTGCTGCTGTTGAAACGCTGCAAAACAGTGTTCCAGAATTCTGCAAAAATCCCTGTCTCAAGTTTGCTTATTTGATAAAATAGTCCCTTTGCAGTATTACGGCACTCGGATTTTTCTTCAATGTCAGTTGCAAATTCAAACAAAATGTCCATTATATTGTCATAGCCATGGACTAATGCTTGACAAGCATCTGCACGACATGACCAGCGTGTGTCACTTAGCTTTTTTGGCATGGACACAGAGAGGCCTCTCATATCAAGCTGGTCTTTAAGCTTCTTGTAGCGCCGAGTTGAACCACTAAAGAATGTATAAAGAGCTTGTACAAAATTAAAAAATCTTACAGCCTCACTACACGAATTTGCAGCATCCTTTCCAACAAGATTTAATGAGTGTCCAAAACAAGGTATGTACTTAGCATATTTATTCATGTTAAGAATTCTTGCTTGCATACCCTTGTAGTGGCCAGACATGTTGCTTGCATTGTCGTAACTTTGTCCCCGGCATTCTTGTATGGTAAGTCCAACGCTATTAACCCCTTAAGGACACGACTTCTGGAATAAAAGGGAATCATGACGGAATATTTCCGTCATCTGTCCTTAAGGGGTTAAGAAATGCTAGGAGCGCATCTGCCATTTCTTCTCCTTTATGCCCTGTTGAGGGTAAAAAAGTAACAAAACGCTCCACAGGTCGATTTTCTTCTAAGTATCGAATAATCACGGTGAGTTGGTCAGTATGAGAAGAATCCTCTGCTGAATCCACAGAAACAGAGTAGTATTTTGCCATTTTAATACGGCTGATGACAACTTCTAAGATCTTATCCCCAGTAATTTGTATGAGTTCCTCACAGACATTTGCTGATAAATAACTTGTACATCCTTTGCCTTTGTTTGCCTTTGTTTGGATGTGTTGTGCTAGGAAAGCGTCATACTCTGACAGTAATTCCAAAATACCGAGATAGTTGCCATTATGTGGGGATCCAATAGTCTGATCATCACCTCTAAAAGCCAATCCTCTCTCAGCAAGAAAAACGATGACACTAAGCAAACGTTTTACTAGGTTTTGCCCATAGGTGGTCAGCTCTTCAATTTGCTGTTGCATTTTATAGTCAATCCGACCTTCCAGTTTTGAAAATTTGGCTGTATCAATCACAGCGCGTATATGATGTTGAGACTGTTCATGGGATGAAATTCGTTCACTGGCATGTTTCCAGTCGCTGAAGCCATCACTGGAAAATGCATTTGTTGATGAACTAAATAATTTGCAGTCAAAACAGTATATTCGGCCTCTGTTATTTGAGTAGCAAAGCCACTTCCTTTCAACTTTGTCCCCATTGGGACAGTTACGAAGAAACATATCTGCTGTACAGCAACGTCCATCTTTAAATGATTTTGGAAATCCTTCATTGCGCAGTTTTTCCAGAGGTTTCCTTACTGGCGAATTTCCATTTTTGGACCAATACTCCCGCATCTCAAGAGTAGATGAGTTGGGCCACAAACCAATGTCAGTTAGGAAACCTGACTTTTCCATGGATTTTGGCGGTATATCAACTGCTTCAGCAGTTGCGTCTTGTATTTCAACAGTATGGAAGCTAGGTTTCTCAACTTCCATAGGAACTGGAGTGGTTTCTAGTGACATGGGCTGATCAGAGGAATCCACTGTGTTGACTTCAGAGCCATATTCTGATACACTTTGAGGAGGAATCTCTTCCTGAGAACATGTACTAGCATGTTCTTTAGAAGATCCACACGCAGAAGGCTGTGCAGAAGATCCACTTGTAGGTAAAAGAAAACCAGTTATTTTTGGAATTCTACATATTTTTTCCTCCAACTCCTGCTTCTTCTTCCGCTTCTGAGCACCACTCAGAGGTTTGGACATGTTGAGGGCAGTCAGGTTCCTGAATAAATAAACGCGATTGACACTTCCATAAACAAAAGTCAATAGAGTGAAAATGCATATATTTTAATAGGATTTTTGCATATTTAAAATGTTGATGTTACAGCCAAGCATGCTGTTTAACTTACTACAGATGCAAAGTTCACACAGAAGGCATCTAACGAGAGCATGCGCCACACCAATCCCCTTCCTCCTCTCGCTGTTCTTCCATGCTTTGTCTGCTCTTCCCTTCTGTAGCTGTGCTCATGACTGTTGCATGGATCTTCTCTCTGACGGGTTAAGACTCCAGTGCATGCATGTATACACGCAAGAGTAAATGTGCACGCCAGTGAAGCTTCCTCTTCTTTCATCAAACGATTTCGTCCAACATTAAACGACCACTATAGGCACCCAAACCACTTCAGCGCAATGAAGTGGTCTGGGTGCCAGGTCCATCTATGGTTAACCCTGCAACTGTACACATAGCAGTTTCAGATAAACTAGTATGTTTACAATAGGGTTAATCCAGCCTCTAGTGGCTGTCTCATTGTCAGCCGCTAGAGACGCTTCTCACTGTGAAAATCACAGTGAGAAGACGCTAAAGTCCATAGGAAAGCATTGAGAAATGCTTTCCTATGGACTGATTGAACGTGCGTGTGGCTCTTGCAGCACATGTGCATTCAGCGCTGACATCGGAAGAGGGAGGAGAGTTCCCCAGCACCGAGGGAGCCCAGCGCTGGAGAAATGTAAGAGTTTAACCGCTTCCTCCCCTTCAGCCTGGCGAGAGTGGGACCCTGAGGGTGGGGGGGACCTAAAGACGCTATAGTGCTAGGAAAATGAGTTTGTTTTCCTAGCACTATAGTGGTCCTTTAATACAACTTACAGTAATGTGAAGTGTATCGCACGGCTCCACAGCAATACAACTCACAGTGATGTGCAAGTACATCACAGATCACCTCAGAATAAAATGCATAGAAAAGTGGAGTGTGTGAGTATCACAAGCTCTACAGCAATATAACTCACAGGAACGTACAATTTGTGAGTGTATTACAGATCATCTCTTTAATACAATGCACATGAATGTCACGTCACATATATGCACATGTATATCATACCCAACCCACTGCTTTCCCATAGAGAAGCATTGGGAGGCTACTACGCATGCGTGGCCTCAGAGATGCTTTGAATCAATGCATTTCTATGAGGAGTGTTTAGCGTGAATACCAGTGTTGCACGTTGTGCAACACTGGATTAAGAAGCACCTCTAGTGGCGTCTGATGAGTGGCCACTAGAGGTATTCCTCAGCAGTAATGTAAATACTGCCTTTTTTTCTGAAAAGGCAGTGTTTACATTAACCCCTTAAGGACGGAGCCAAATGTATACGTTGTGAGCAAAACAAAATGTAAACAAAACCTGGCATTTGCGCTACATGTCTGTCCAACCGTAATTCACCTCTTTCATAGTAAATGCACCACCCTTATTATATATCATTTTATTCAGGGGAAACAGGGCTTTCATTTAATATCAAATATTTAGCTATGAAACATAATTTAATATGAAAAAATGGGAGAAAATACGATTTTTTTTTTTTTTTAGTTCTACATGACATTTTAACGTCAATGTCATAATACTGTTTGCTTTTACTGCAATAAAATACACATATTTGTATTCAGCAAAGTCTCACGTGTAAGACAGTACCCCCTATGTACAGGTTTTATGGCGTTTTGGGAAGTTACAGGGTCAAATATAGCACGTTACATTTGAAATTGAAATTCGCCAGATTGGTTACGTTGCCTTTGAGACTGTATAGTAGCCCGGGAATGAAATTTACACCCATAATGGCATACCATTTGCAATAGTAGACAACCCAAGGTATTGCAAATGGGGTATGTCCAGTCTTTTTTTGTAGCCATTTGGTCACAAACACTGGCCAAAGTTAGCGTTAGTATTTGTTTGTTTGTGAAAAATGCAAATAACGCCAATTTTGGCCAGTGTTTGTGACTAAGTGGCTACTAAAAAAAGACTGGACATACCCTGTTTGCAATACCTTGGGTTGTCTACTATTGCAAATGGTATGCCATCATAAGGGTAATTTTCAAAACAGTAAAAAGTATCACAGCAATAATATTGTCCGTGTAATGCTGTTTGTGCGTGAAAAATGCAAAAAACGTCACTTTTACTGGCGATATCATCGTTGTAATACATTTTACTGTTTTGAAACACTAATATTTGTGTTCAGCGAAGTCTCCCGAGTAGAACAGTACCCCCCATGTACAGGTTTTATGGTGCCTCGGAAAGTTATAGGGTTAAATATAGTGCTATAATATGGGTTGTCAGGCAGGTCCTGCTAATTGTAATTAAGATACCTAATTATGTAAAAATATTACATAAATATATATGTAGAATTAATATATGTATATATACGTATGTGTATATATCTATATAATTTTTTTAAAATATTTTTATTTATATATAGGTATATATATATATATAGTGATATATATGTATATATTTATGTATATAGATATATATTATTTCGTTCTACGTGTATTTTGATATATATATATATATATATATATATATATATATTAATTTCACAATACAGTTAGAACGAAATAACACACCTATATATTTTTTATTTATTTTTTATTATTTTTTTAATTTTATTTTTTAACGTATTTACATTTTTATTTTTTTTATATTATATATAAATATATATAACAATAATTATATATATATATATTTAATCAGTATCAGTCTACGTGTAATTTGATATATATATATATATATATATATATATATATATATAATAGTAAAATACACCTAGACGGTGTACGTGTGTGTATGTATATATGTGTGTGTATATATATATATATATATATATATATATATATATATGATCTAAGTATATATATATATTTTTTTTTACACTATTTATTTATTTTAATTTTATTTTCAGCCAGCATGGGGACCACCTGTCATTACAGGCATCCCCCCTGCTAGCAATGCAGGAGGCAGCTACCCCCAGCCATGTGATTGTGGGGTCCTCGCAAGGACCCCACTCTCACATGGCCGGGGGGCTTCGAGGGGGACGGACTTGCTGCGGGGAGCTCCATGGGAGTCCCCCCCACCGCGATCGCCGGCGTGGGATCGTCGGCGACCGGGTAAGTACCGAAAGACCGGAGGGCGTACTATTACGCCCGGCGGCATTTAGAGCCGCTTAGAATAGGGCGTAATAGTACGCCCTCCGGTCTTAAGGGGTTAAAAAGCCTGCAGAGACATGTTATAGACACCAGAACTACTACGTTTAGCTGTTGTGGTTCTGGTGACTATAGTGTCCCTTGAAAATAGAGGGGGAAAAAAATCATCACAAAAGTATTAAATAAAATGGCTGTATCATTATTATAAAAATTAAAAAAGCAAAATTTCTGACACAAATATATAGTATTTAACAGATTACTTTATTTTAAACAATGTCATAGTACTGTACTACTAACCCCTCCATCCACCCTTCTAACCACCCCTCACCACCACCCTTCCCCCTCCCCTCTAACCACCCTTACTCCCATAAAACAATATATATTACAGTAACTAACTAATGTAAATACTTACAGTTGTGAAGACTCCAGCAGGCTCAGGATCAGTTGGGCAGCTGGGCTCAAGGCTGGAGTGGGTGCCGACCTGCAGTTCCGTTCCGGATGGCGCAGCTCTGTCGTTCACGATGGTGCCGCGCTGCAGTTCGGGAAGGAGGCGGAGTCACGGCAACGCTCACCCTAGCGTTGCCGTGACTCCGCCTCCGCGTGACGTCACCGTGCGCGGCATACGCAAATGGCAGGGGAGGTCAGGAGGCGGAGCAACAAGTAAGGTCCTTCACTATGCGGCAATGCCGCTCGCATAGTGAAGGATAACAGTCTTCGGGACACGGATTTGTGGGCAGTGGCCAGCGGGGCTCAAGAGGCAGCTGCCTTGGGCCCCCCAGGAGCAACTGGGCCCGGGGCAGCTGCCCCTTTTGCCCCGCGTTAAAGACGGCCCTGGGGATATTCTGTAACTTCCCATTCCTTGACTCTCTCCACACACAGTGACCCCTACTGGCCGGTGCTGGTATTGCAGATTAATTTACATTTATTCTGAGAAAATTACCTACATTTGTATTGCCAGTATCACTGCAATGCCGACATGGCCAGGCAGCCTCAAATACTGTCTGTGCCATTAAAATACCAGTCAGGTGGCAAACCTAAGAGTAGTGTGTGTAAAAAAAAAACATAATTTTTTTTTTATTTTTTTATTTTTTTAATGGGCCTATTCCATGGGCCTGGGCCTGGGCCTGGAGCTGCAGCTCCATCAGCCCCTATGTTAATCCGGCCCTGCACACAGACATGCTGACATACAAACATACTGACACACACACAGATATACTGACACAGATATACTGACACACACACAGACATACTGACACACACAAAGACATACTGACACAGACATGCTGACACACACACACAGATATACTGACACACAAAGACATACTGACACACAAACATACTGACACACACAGATGACACACACACACACACACTGACAGACATACTGACACAGACATACACTTTAAAACCCACCCTCCAGTTTCCTACCTTTCCTGCTGGTGGCTGAAGGTGTTGGGAGTTGGGGTATAGCGCTCGCGGCCTACTCTTTTTTCCTCCCTTTGTGGGAGGAAGTAATGCGCGGCCGTCACTTCCTCCCAGCCTGCTGCCTAAAAGCAAGGGGCCCGCTCGCGCTGTTAAAGCGCCTCAGCATGCGACCGGGCCCCTGCTGACAGAAGCCCACCGGGTGGTCCTTTGTGCATGGGCCACCCGGTGGCCCTCCTTAGTGTACGGATTACTGGCCAGAGGGTTAGAAATAGTTGAGGCCAGCAGGACTCACGGTGCAGCTGGCCAGTTTGCCTCGCGTTAAAGACGGCCCTGCGTATATGAGCTATTATATTGTAAATGTTCATGAGTAGTTTATGG